AGGGGGGACGATAAAACATTATATGCGCGGATTTCCCTAGTGTGATGTCATTATGATACCGGTATCCCTGGCCAGTTTCCGGCCACCGGATCTGAACCCAATGCCTTTTCTAGGGAAAAACAATATCATAATTTCATATGGGCGCATATGTTCTGAATGAAGAAAAAATGCAAACCAACTCAGATAAAAACAAAAACACAAGATGATCAATGGTACCCCTGTCCTTCAAAACAGACCTTCTAAGCAGACCTTCTAAACCAATTCAGGGTGACCATCGGGACACCAAAAGTCGAGGACTAGGATCCCTGGAATTCGTCATTGCTATGTTTTTGGGTTACCTTTTGGTAAGTTATCACAACAATGAACATGGGTATTAAAAATGATTTACCTATCAAAAATATATAAAAATATTTGAAATGGTGTGTTCCATAGCAATGTTATAAATAGCTAGAATAGAATTTCACCAATCCACCATTTGTAGATCATGTTCGAACGAACGGAAACCCATGTATTGCCATTGTTTTTTTGGGTTTTGTTTAGAAGCAACATATTAGTTGTCCAGGCCTTGTAATGTTTTTTCTTCAGTTTGAAACCAACGATGGAGGAATACGCCGAATATATCCAAATATATCCAAATATGGCAATTGTGCAGAATTGTGCCATGGAAAATGACGACGAACCACGACTAATCTGGACCAAGCAGGATTTCAACCCAACTAATCATGACTAACCAGGGTTTTAAGTTTTAACCATGACTAACCATGGTTTAACCAGGATTTTAACTATGAAACCATGGGGTTTCCCCACGGCACCACGCTCGCCTCAGGACCTCCTGTGCACGTCTCGCCAGCGCAAAAAGACCGTCCTCGCCTGAGAGGAGCCAATGGGCCGGGCGACAGGGGGTAGATGGTTTTAAATGAATGATAAATGGGGTACCACCATTTTAGGAAAACTCTATGTGCTTTGGCTTTTTTTTGTCCCCAAATAGAGGTGTTTCCCGTATGATCAAAGAACCTTTGAAATGGATTTGGGGATCCCCAAATGTTAGGAAACCTCTGAATCTGATTCATAGGTGTAGAATTTATACCTATGTTATAAATATGAAGAGATATGTATTGTTGATGTGTATAGATCACATGCTTGGACCAACGGAAATGTGGTATTTGTTTCCATGTATTTTCAAGCCAAGCAATCTAAAGTCGGACGTACGGGATACAAGTTGTCTTGGCGACAGGGGGCATAATTGGATTCAGCGGCGCATTTGTTTCACCAAATCTGCCTTTGGTAATAGGGAAAACCAAAGGTTGATGTGGTAAACCAGCGGTTGCGTTTATCCCTTTATGCACACTTCAATCATGCAATGATTGATCCTCAACTGTCATGGCTTTTGAGTCATGCCTATGTAGCTGCTAGTGGCATTTCATTTTGGGTCGCCATACCCATTTAGTGTGGCAAATCATCATGAACAGGTTTTTTTGTCGGGGACGACACCACTTCTTGGAGCCATTCATGGGGTGTTTAAATATGGGAAGAATGGGATTGTACTGCTGCTGCAGAGACCAGGATCGATGAACTTCTGGTTGAGTTGTCAACTGGAACGCGCAGGCCCTGCAGATGTGGGTGCACGTGCCGGTACTAGCGAGGTTCATGTGGAAGGTTTCTAGAAAATGGAGGTGCCCTAGGGAGGTATAGCAATATTGATAATATATGATAATATTGTGCCATTGTTCAAACATCCCAAAATCCTGACAATGATCTTTGAGATTACTGGAGTGATGTTAATTCAACTATGTGGCTAGTATTTCTGATACATATATATATATATACACATATACACATTCACAATAAACATGTATCGCCATTTAAATTTTGCTTTATTTCATCATGTTTGTTTCGATGCCTAATGATGGGAGGACGCTACTCCAGCTGATGATTGCCATTGTTATTTGACTAGTTATCTTCCAGTTTTCATGTTGGAATGTACCAACCCACTGCCGAGGCGTTTTTGTAGCGCCTGGAGCGTAAGAGCCTATCTTTCCTGGCTTACCAAGGCGGAAACCCCGGGGAGCATTGTGGTAAGATTGCGAAAAGTTCGGAAAATGTCATGTTTGGCAATGGGGATATGTTATAAGTCATGTTTGGAAATGGGCATATATGCAATATCATGGAAAATAAGTTGAATATAATGTTGAATTTATATAACATTATATAACCATTATAAATAGCGGCACATGTGTGTGTGTGTGTTTACAGATGTTTTACGTGCTTTTGGTCTGTTGAGACTGGATACTTTCTGACTCCTCAAAGCGGAGGCTAGCAGATGCTGGAACTATGGCGTTCTCTTGATTTGATGCTATGCACCACCAATCCCCCATTCGGAGTGTACGAAGCTCCGCAGCTTGTTGCGGGCTACCTTTGGTGCTTGACTTCACATGCCGCACCATTGCGGAAGGCTGTAACTTCAAACCACACAAGGGTGATCAAGGGTGCTTGTAAGTATTTTGCGTAGCTAATTGTTTACAATATAGGCAAAGTGATGCAAAGTGTAATATGTGGTATATTCTCATCTACTGTCCCACTTCCTTAAGTTTTAGTCTTTGGATTGGGTTTATCCAATTTTATGTTTCATCAACCAGCCAAAATAGGTATACCACTGGCCAACAAAACATCCATGTGAAGTGGATAGAGGTGGCAACATGTTCAGGTAAGATACGTAATTTGAGGGCGTACGTTGGGGTTTTTACTCTAATCAAATGGTTTTGTTTGAAAGTACACTAGCCTAAAATTTGATGGTTGATCATAATTTTCTCTTTAAATGGCCCATGTGCGGGAAATCCCCCATGGAGGTAAGAAAACCCACCCTGGCTACTCAAACATGGCCAGAAAATCCGCCAGTTTTTAGTTGGCTGAGTTCCCCGCAAAATCCATGCCATGACGGGACATCCCAGCTAAATAAAGTTTGATTTCCTAGATAAATATCTCATTTTTAGATTCCCAGAAAAAATCCCTATGCCAGCAATGTCCAAGCATTAAATCATGTGAAAAATCTGATTTTTTTGGATGGTTAACACATGGTAACCATGAAATCCACATCTTTTGTACCCCTCAAAGGAGGAGTATCAATAGCTCAAGGTCTCACCTTGTCCGGGTGTGTCCCTGTCCAGGACCTCGCGCAAGGCGATGAGAATCGGCGTCATCTGGTGGCAGCTGCGTTGGCATCTGCCATTGTTGATGTTGATGGCTTGTGGTACCGGGCCTCAACGGCAGCTCAGTGGCCGGAGGGGATTTTTGTTATTGGAGGTACCGTTTTGCATTTGAAGGTCTATGATTTTTCGGGCTAGGCTTCAAGGGATATACCCCAAAAAATGGCTTTTGACAGTACCGGCCCAGTTTAGGGACCTAAAATGGCCACTGAACTAATGGAAGGTTTGATCCACCACAATTTCTCTGAAATTTGATGGCTGAACAACGTTGAACATCATTATTATTGCCCTTCAAGGGGAGGCATACCCGCATTTTCAGACACACGTATGGTATCGGTTTCAGTAAGCTACATTCATTGTTTCAGTAACCAAGATAAACCAATCAAAATTGCTTTTACATGTCTAAGTCACTTACAATTGTGGCAGTCAAACAATTTGATAATGCCAGAAATGAATGACCAAAAAAGTCCCGTTCGCCCAACTTGACCCCACCACATATGAGATGATCCAGGTACCAAAAGTTTCTGGTAGCTGTTTGAGCTACTGCCTGCAAATCGTCAACCAGTTGGCTAGGCTTTTTGGAGATCGCAAACCCCAAATAGCTTTGTCTGAAAAGTGGGGACCCTTGAATCCATTGGTTAATCACCACTCTCGTATCTAAATAGCCGTTATAGGTGGTATACCCCGTTTTCAGACACGCCCAAATAGAGAACCTTTCTGGAGTTCCTGATATATATATATATATATACATATATATATATAGATAGTGTACTCCGAACTTAGAACCAACCAAGTTGAGGCCTTGCGATGTCTTATAGATGTGTGGCATCGTCAAGGAATATATTTGGTTTTCACCGGTTGTATATAATAATAGTAGTAGTACTCACCAGTGACTAAGTGGAATGACAGCAGGTTTGATGGTTGAATCACATTTAAACAATGTCAAGTTCCGTCTGCAGTTCCTCAAATTTACCATGCCTTTGATCAAACTCAGATGTTGCCAGCGGTGCCAAAGAGTTGACTTGTGACGTCCCCTTCGTTCTGGAAGGAGAACGAGGCTGGACAACTAGCTCGCACCACGAGGAGTTGCCACTGGCATACTGGCTTATTGGTCAGTGGTGCATTACAGTTCCATTTGAACCAAAATGCCATTTGCGACTGGTGGCATACTGGGCCCCGCTGACCGCGATGCGCAAAGGCAGCACTGCGAAGAGTTTACACAGTGGCCTCTCTTGACCGAAGGGTCTTGGGGGCGCAAGTTGCAAAAGTCGCCGGACATGCACTTCAACCATATGGACTTCAACCATATGGATATTTTTACTTTGATCCAGATCTTCTAACCAGTAATAATTTTGGTATAACCATACCCATAGTTGCACAGATGGATATTATCTAGCATAAACCATAGTGATACCATAGTTATACATAGTTATACCATACGTAGTTATATCATACTTATACCACAGTTCCACAGTTATCCATAGTTATATAACATATATCCACAGTTTATGCTAGATTAAAAAAAAAACACAGGTAGGTATACGGATATGGATCCACTAACTTCATGTTTTTTGTCCCCTTTGGTCAAATCCCGTGGGTTTTCCTCGGTGCAGGTACGAACTGCCGCGGCTCCGCGAGCTCTCCTCCCTCTACGGCCGCAAGCTTCGGGGCGGCTCGCGCGCGCGTGCGCAAGGCAGGGGATTAGAGCCCCATCAGCCTTCGGGGATCTTGGGGGATTCAAGTTCCAGCAAAACAGAGAATATGTGTGTAGGTAATCATAGAATAATTTACTGTATTGATATATATATATATATACATACACATAGTTATGTATATATATAATTATGTGTATAATATATATATATATTTATACATACAATATGATATGATATGTCAATGTATACATATGCATATGTACGTCAATCTAGGTATCTTCATCTCTACATATGACATATATTGCATATCTGTAGTTTCTGATTTTTTGGCCCCATGTCCCAACTTATGGTTATCACAATGGTTTTCTCTCCATGAAAAATGATTGGTGGCACCACCAAGTAGGTAGATGCAGCTCACATTTTATCATTTTGGCGAGATAATTCTCCATGACGAGCCACTTGGCAGGAAGTCCTTTTACCTTTCCTGGATAACTTTTCAAACTGATCAAGTCCTCAATTACCCAAGACATCTCCAAGGACGTTTATATATATATATACATATATATATATATACATATTTTAATCGCCTTTACTTTTTCTAGTACCAAGACAAAAACCACGGTCCGCAGCCATGGTTGTTCCGCCCTCGCCAGGTCTTTACGTGCTGAACCTCACGCCGTTCCGCGTCACCGTGACGGCTTCGCCTGGGTCGAAGCACAGCGCTAGAGCTTTGGAGGACTCAACGTTGCGCGGGGAAAAAAACGTTGCGTTTGTTTGAAACGGGAGGACGTGACCCGTGTGGTGCCTGAAGTTGGTGAACATAAGTCCAATAACTATGGTTTATAGGTGATATAAGATAAATATATCTATAGTTAATGGGATTATAACCCATATTTCTAACTGGGGCAGACACCACCTTGTACCCTCGACTTAAAAAGATGGCAATAATATATCATGAATTCATAGTCAATCATTTATGTAAAAAGAAAGCAGATCTACTGTCAACAAATTGTGGAGGGATTGAGATAGCGGGATATGAATATAATGGGATATGATTGGATGCACAGTAGTAGGCACTAGTAAGATCATGGGGTTGTCGTCATCAGCCCCCTGGAACAAAATGGACTCGTTTTTGATACCCACAGTTTCCGAAGTAATCCCCATTATCCCAACAGTACATTTAGCTTTATATGAATAATTATCATAAGTTTTAGAATGACTTAATTATTGTATTTATACTATGTTAGTGCCTTATCATCATTCAATTTGTTATCCCATGCCTGATACTCCTATCACCATTGTCACTACTAATCATCACTTCAAGGATAGTAATCATCATTATACTCCCAATTAATTGTATATTCTCCAATATGTTATCTAGCAAAATTGACTAGTTACTACTTTATTTACAAGGGGATATACTTGTTAGTGAATAGAACTAATAGTTCGTAGACAATCATGTAGATACGGTTCTGCCTATTGGTTAGTGAGTACCTATAGATTATCTAACATATATAAGATTGTTTCTTTGACTAACATATATAGCCAATATATAGTTAACAGATAAGGAAAATATAATTCCAGATGCTTATCTTAATTGTCATCCCAACTATCCATACAATGATCCCAACTATCCCTCAATGCTCCCTAGAACTATAATCAATTATAAGTTCTATAATGGTTATCCCCCCAAACATTGGATACATCTCCCTATGGATCCAAACACTGTCTGAGAACTTAACCTCCTATATAAATCATACCCCAGTCATACTTCCTAAGAAGGTACTTGAATCCAAAGGTAATTATACATAATATATATATATATATTACTAAATCATAAGTTGGTTATATACCTAAATTGTACCTGAATCGTATCCCCATAATGCATGCTCCTAATGGTTATCCTTACAAACATTGGATACATCTATTTCTTACCCTACAAGGTGGTGCCCCAAGACAGCTAAGTTGCTTTATAAGTCCAACAACTATAGGGTTTATGTTTTTTTTCTATAGTTACTATGGTTTTTAAACCAACTTGGAACTGGGGGGGCACCGTCTTGTCGCAGGAGAACACCGGCGGCGCCTTGGGCGACGTCGAAGAAGTGGCCTTCGAGTCGCTGCAGTTCTCGCAGAAGGCGCCGCGGACGGGGACGTGGCCGTTATGCCGTGGAAAACCGGGAGTTCAATGGTTTAAGCCTGAAACATGCGGAGTTCACATGGTTGAAGTCTGCAAAATGTTTTTTTAACCATGATTTAGGAACAAAAAATGCTGGATTTACGGATTTAGTGGTTTAAATCTCAGGATGGACACTAAGTTGGGTTTTCCGCAGCAAAAAGAGGGAACTCGTTACTATTCAAGGAAGGGCATATTTATTCAGAGTATGTGGTTTGTGACTCCTTACCCATTTATATAGATTGTGGGTTTCCATGATCTAAGTCGACATTAACATGCATCTGGAAAATCCGCAAGAATTCATCTGGAAAATCCACAAGATTAGTAAAATCATTTCTTAGGGTGTCCCCGTTTAAATCTTCTCAACCCCGATGTGGGTTTTCGTGCGCCGCAGACGGCTCGCGGCCTACAGAGCATGGAGAGTTTGAAGGTTGACAACCGCGTAGGCACCGGTGTGGGTGAGCGGTGAACTTGTTGAGGTGAGCACGGAAGTGTTGATTGGTTATCATATAGGGCCTTAATGTTAACCATTTATGGTAAACTTGGGGATGGTGGATCCTATTGTTTTCCTTATATTTTGCTACATTATACTACATGGTTCCTTGGAGATGTTGACCCATTCTGGAACCAATCGACGAGGCATGACCGGCACCGGGTTTTGAACGCTGCAGGTGAAGTGAGGTACCCCTTGAACAACGGGGAGTTGCGAGTTCTCAATTCCAGGCTCGACCGGCGGATCAGATTGCGACGGGGTAAGGAGTTGAAGGCCCTTGTTTCCTTTTGGTGCCCGTGTTTTCCTTGTTTCCTTTGATACAAAGAGATCAAAGAGATCAAAGAGGCCTTGAATAGGCCTCACATAGACCATAGCTTACTTATTTTCCCATGTCCCATCTCCTTTCTATTTGGGTTTGTCTGAACATAATTGCGGCGCTTGAGAGTGGCATGCAAGCAGAGTCCAGGTCGCCATTTTGCTGGTGAACCCATCATCTCAATCATCATATTTTCTTGGTTACATATTATTTTTATATTTTGTCATATTATATCAAGTTCAAATTCAAATATCCCCATCCTATCCATCGGGGTTAGATAACCCTAGGGGTAAATTAACATAGACGTGGAACCCCCACCATGATTGTAGATCATTTTCGGAACGGCTTTCTCCCTGGTTTTTCCACATCTGACCCTAGGGCATCTTTCATCACCGTCGGTGACCCGGAGGCATACTTTCGGCAACGACGCAGCCGCGCACTTCATGCTATTGCTCTGGTCGTGGCCTCAAAGGTGCAGCTCCCAGCGGTGAACGAACAAGCCATGGGGGATTTACAAAAAACAGGGGGAATGTATGACACTTTTTTGTACCAACAGGGATGGGATGATTTTTGTTGGATAAATCAGGGGATAATGTATGTACACACACATATCTAGTATATATATATACTATTAGGGTCCAGCTTGTGGAAGCCGAGTTCTATGCATAATCCCAGCCCCCATTTTTGGGTTCCCCGTGTAGGCTAGTGTTAGTGTCTGCTTGCAAGCATGTGCTTGCAGCGTGCAACCCTGAAGCAACTGTCAGAAGACTCTGCAAGCTTTTGGCCAGAAGGAACTTGCCCTGGGTGACCCTCACCTTGACGCACTTGCTGCGAAGCCATGTCGTCAGAAGCAGCACCTGCTGATGTTGCGGCCGTTGCGCCGCCGGCAGACCGTTTGGCAGATTTGAAAGCAGCGCGACAGGCGCTGAAGCGGCAGTTGGCGCAAGCAACCCGAGAGGTGAAGAGCCAGGACATAGACTGGTGGCCATCAGACATGGTATAATGTCCTGTCTTGATCAATGCTAGCTTGTTTGCAGCAAATTGTCTGTGCCGGGCGCAGGAGAAAAAACGCCGTCGCATCATGCAGCAAGCTGGGAAACTGAGCACGGCAGATTTGTCGTGGCTGTTGGCGGTCAAGGTTGCCAATGGTCGTCCCTGATGTTTGCAGTTTGTCTGCATGGGCATGTCTCTGACAAGTGCAGAGCTATGCAGGAGACTCTGTGTTGGTATTTGCCCGTGAAGGGCGCCAATGTCGTCCTGCATGTGTTACAATGGCACGCACACGCGTGAGGAAGTTGCAAGTTTGCACACGAAGTGTGCACCTATGTGTGATTAACAACCTGACGCCAAAGGTGTCTGAAAACAATCGCAGCCGGCCACTCATGTTGCATGTTGGCTGTGGGAAGTGAGAGCGATTCAGTCAGTGGAGTCAGACGATTGCTTTGCATAGTGGCTGTAGGAGTGATTATTCAGATTCATTCATTGGATTCAGAGGCCTGCTTGATTGACGCACCACTGTGTGACACATAGCACACGCCGTATCCTGTCAGTGATTTAACATTCTCTTGCTGCGGCGGCAGCGATGGATGCTGGTGCGCTGCGGCCGTTGCGCCTGGTGCGTGCACGACCTGGCGATGCTGCTGCCGTTCTGGGGCCTTTGCGCCTGGTGCTGGCGGCTGGTGCTGTGCCACATTGCATCTGGGCACATGGTGCAGCTGCCTGTCCAGGGGGGAAGTGACTCTACATCTAGCAATTGTACCCTTGGTTTCTTGGTTCATGTTAAATTCCCATGTTTGATGGTGATTTCTCGCCAGTTACCCATAAGGCTCAATCAATGATATAAGCCCATCGTTTGATAAATCCCCAATGGTCAACCGCGGTGCACCATAAAAAATGACTGGCGAATCCCTATATGGTTACAGTGATTTACCCACTGGTAAATTAACATAGACCCTTAATATCACCAAGGTTTAATGACAACTAGTCTTCCATCCCTATCTCCCACGGTCTATGTTAATTTACCAGACGGTAAAACGCTGTTGAGGTCTATCAATCTTCCCCGGTTCGACCACTTTTGATGGGTAACCAACCAGCATGACACCGAGTTCCCAGGTCTAGCATCCGCAAAATGAGGGTGCTTGCATGAATTAGTAGATTGTCGGAAAAGGGTAAATGATAACGACCTCAATCATCCCCAAATGGCCAAACCATGCAGGTGAGTGAACTATTGGGATTGCAATGTTTCATGACAGCAAATGTCAAAGATGATATGGGATGATAGATACGTACGTACATATATTTGTATATACATATATTAATATAAGAGAATATTATATAATTAGGAACTGATTTGGTCAATTGGGGGGAGCGAACCGCTCCGTGCGTAGCAACTTCGAAGCACACCCCCATTTGATTAAATCGGTGTAGGAACCCCCCCAGCGGATTAGATAGCTTGGTTGCTGGATATTATATAAGGGTTGGTTGAACCGGGAACCTCCCTATCTCATCCGCGACAATATTTTTGGGGTTATGCTAATTTTTGGGAGTGTAATGACCCCCTAAAGGATGGATTGCCCAATTCAAGGAATGTTGATGCCTGAATTGCCCTATCCATCCAAAACCACCAAAGGGGATAATGACTGGAATAAAATCTAGGAGACGCGGACAGAAAATCTATGAGACACAGCTGAGCTTTGCCAAACGCAAAACTTTAGGTTTGAAGAACTTTGAAACGACTTCAAGGTGGATTCTTTACAAAAGACAAGTCGGAACATACCCCAGAAAGCCTTATATCGATCTAGATAGACATGTGATTTGGAGAATAGAGACCTCGAAATAAAATGCGTACAAGACTAGTTTTTTAGGAGGTGGCTGATATGAAACTGGTCGCTTCCTCATCCCAATGCGTTCGTTTCACTTTTCAATACAATGGTCGAGATGAAAGTCGGTGATCGGGAATGTTCGTGATCCGGGTCGAAAGGAAAAGAATGTTCGAGATGCAAGTCGGTGATCGGGACTGTTCGTGATCCGGTTCGAAAAGCCAATGCTTCGCGTTGGGAATTTCAAGCATTCAATGCCATGCTGCATTTTGAAAAAAAACAGGAGATGTGTGGCTGATATGAAACTGGTCGCTTCCTCATCCCAATGCGTTCGTTTCACTTTTCAATACAATGGTCGAGATGAAAGTCGGTGATCGGGAATGTTCGTGATCCGGGTCGAAAGGAAAAGAATGTTCGAGATGCAAGTCGGTGATCGGGACTGTTCGTGATCCGGTTCGAAAAGCCAATGCTTCGCGTTGGGAATTTCAAGCATTCAATGCCATGCTGCATTTTGAAAAAAAACAGGAGATGTGCACATAAAGATCAGCCTTTTGGTTTTACCTGGTTCAAAGCTGTCAGCATGAAAGTGCTCAAGATCCCGCTTTCCAGTCGTTAGAGTATTTCATTCTAGTACCGATTCTAGATAGCGATAGACATGTATATGGAGATATATACTAAGACCACAAAATGAAGATATTTTCACTTTAGGCACTTAATGAAGATATTAGTAGTTATATGAACTTATCATAGAAGTGTTTTTTCTTTATTTTTACTTATTTTCACTTATTTTTCAATGTTTTTTTGATGATCAGAATTGATTATAGACGATGCATTTTTCTGTTATATTTTTTTGAAAATAGTTGTCGACCTTTTTGTTTCCTTTGGAATATTTTTTTCTTGCCTTTTTTCATTGTTTTTTTTCATTCTTTTCAGGCATCATCCTTTTAGAAATCACCCTTTTCAGGATTTATCCTTTTCAGGAATTATCCTTTTCAGGACTTATCCTTTCAGGATTTTTTTATTCAGAATGAATCCTTTTCAGGAACTATCCTTAACAGGAATCTTTCTATTCAGATTGATTTCATTTTCAGGAACAATGCTTTTCAGGAGTTATCTTCTACAGGAAATGGTTCTTCTACAGGAATATGCGCGGCTGCGAGTGACACAAAGAATCTTGAAGTACATCTGTGGAGAAATCATTCAGAGGCAAAAGGAAAAAAACATATAAAGGATGCTTCTTGGAAAGAACAATTGCTCTTTTGATGTGTCTTCTTCAATTGTATACGACTGCCCAGAATGAGATCTTTCACAACATGAGGCTTCGGTTACTACTTCCAAACTACATAATTCAGGGATGAAGATGGATACCTAATTTGGAAAATATTCTATTATATTTTTTTGTTGGTAAAAGATTTAAAGCTAGCTGGCTTGCTTTTTGTTTTGAAAATGTATTTTCTATAATTGCTATTTATGTTTTATTGTTCATATTGTTCTACAATTTACTTTCTTTTGATTTCGCATACTTTGTTCATACGGTTTTTTTGCTGAGATTTTGGTGGTTGATTAATCGCAGGGAATTATTAATCCTAACTTGACATTATTATAAATACTTACTTATCCTTTTTTTTCCTCTATAAATATTTCCTGAATTTTCTGAAATTTCTGAATTTTCTGAAATTTCTGGATTTTCTGAATTTTCTGAATTTTCTGAATTTTCTGAATTTCTGAAATTTCTGAATTTTCTGAAATTTTCTGAAATTTCTGAAATTTCTGAAATTTCTGAATTTTCTGAATTTTCTGAATTTTCTGAATTTTCTGAATTTTCTGAATTTTCTGAATTT